GTTCACACAGGGGTCTGATGCAGGTCACATTTAAAATGTAATGTGAACGTTCACACAAAAAGATCGGATTTTTTCAAAAAATCAGAACGGAGCATTAAGACCTGCAGTGTGAACGTAGCCACAGACATGTTTTGCAGACTTGTGAAACTCTGCCCATCTTCAAAAAGGTTCAGCCTCTCTAAAGGGTCTTTTTATTTACCCAGTCCTACTACTGGCCTCTTGTCCATTACCCTAATTAGTTGCAAAATGCTCATGGAGCTGTTTATTTGCATCACTTACTTTTACAGCCTTACGTTAACCTTGTCCAGTCTTTGTTGAGTTGTGTTGCTACCATTAAATAAAAAAAAGATGATACTAAAACTTTTAGGACCCTTTATTAATTAATTAGTTGACTGAGTGGTGGACCTGCTTAAAGAGAAAAGTGCTCAACAAAAGTTCTTCAGCTCATTAAAGTTGTGAACTTGGACAGGTAAACTGTGAGTATTCAGTAAAAGGTTCCAAAAAGGATTATGTTGGAATTTTATTTCCCCTTTTTATATTAAAGCATTGTTTTGAAACAACACAACACTTTCCTAAACAGTATTTTACAGTTTATAAGTGAAGCTATCAGTTATTGCTGCTCCATTAAATAATTTTGTTGACTAATCTTAAGACCATCAGGTCTTTTAAAATTCTGCTCTATATTCAGATCATCTTACTTTGACTGTCCACTTTGTTCATGTTTTCTATTAATTATGGTTTAACAACTCTGAATATCACCCTTTTTTAGTGTTCTGTGCTAACTAAACAATCTTGTGTCTCTATTTTAAAATTATTACTAACTTGTTTTTATATTTTCTCTCTTTTTTCCCGCACTGTTAATAATTTAATAGCAATTTAATCAYGTACTGAGTGAGTGACTGTTATTTGTCCAGGAACAATCAAAGCTCAGCCAGCGAGTGGAGCAGTGGTCCTTTCAGATGACTTAAAGAACCCTGCTATGGAAAAACTGGACCTTGTGAGAAAGTGGAGCATCAACACTTACAAAGTAAGCCTCCTTGATTGATTTTAGTTTGTCCTCTACATTTCTTCTTCTTCTTCTTCTTCCCTCAGCTTTATTCCCACTCTTTATCTTCTCTTAGTTAATTACAAAGTTGGCAGAGAAGTGACAGAACAAATGATCGATGAGCTGTCTTTCAGTTTTAAATTCTTTTTTATTTATTTTTTTAAGCTCCAGTTTGTTTCTCATACTGCTTCTTCTCTCTGGACTCACCACAGTAGAAATTCCCAGCAGTTATTATTCTTAAAAGGATCTAAATTCTTGCCGGTGTCTGTGAGCCTACTGTCCTCTGCAGTGTACCAGGCAGATCCTGTCAGAGAAGCTGGGTCGGGGATCCAGGACCGTGGACCCGGAGCTGGAGGCACAAATTGATCAGCTCCGTGAAAACAAGAGGAAGTACCAGAACGTGATCAAGCTGGCTCAGACGCTGGCCAATCAGCTGTCTCTGATCATGCAGACGCAGAGGCAGCTGGGCGATGCCTTTACTGACCTCAGTCTGAAGTCACCAGAACTCCACGTGAGTCCAGAGTGTTGGGTCCGGTGAAGTTGATCAAGTTAGCTGGGATACACTGTTGGTTGCTGGTGTTTTTTGTGTTCTTTATTTTTACCCCTAACTCATTAAAAGGAGGATTCAATTCAGCATTAAGCTACTGAGCAACATTTTAATGAACTCTAAGGTAATATCTCACTGAGCTGCGACTGTTGGAGACTAGTTGGGGACTGAAAATTACAAGAAAATATTCAGTTTAGTCTCACTGATTTGATTGTGTGGCTCTGTTTTGAGCAGCAAGTTTTTTAAAATCTTGACTTTTCTGTGCAATCACCAGCCTCAGCCCACTTTGTACCCACCTTAGCAGCCACTAGGGATGGGTACCGAATTCAATACTTTTGTAAGTACCAACCGAATTCTGTCGGTACTACCGAGTACCTAATCATGTAACATCAAACGGTACCATGTTTCGGTACCTAAACGCATCATTGCGACCGTATTAGCGTAAGAGTGGTGGATTTTCCATGCTTGCCCTGAACGCAGCATCACGCAGGAGTGTGATGACGTCAGCAGCTGCTGGTAGCTTGAAGACGAGTGTCGCAGCTCCTGGAGTGAAACTCACCCAACAGACTGTCTCTGAATTYCCTGGTGGATTAATTATCTTGTGAGCACGACTTTCGCTTGCTCAATGTAAATAAAGTACCACCATTTTCTTTATTTCATCCGCCATTAAACAGAGACCGGCAGAGGAAAACAACAGAGGTGCTTCCTGACAGTCCGAACAAGTCTGACCTAAAGAGCACAAGCAGCCAGCTTGAAGCGCTGGATGCGTTTTGGATGCTCAAAATGTAGCTTAAATACCTTTTATTTATTTTAACTCCATCCTCTTTTACTTATTTGATTTAAACTTATTTGCCTTCCATGGACCTCCATCACACAATGTTTCTAGTGGGGAAATGACATCAATAGAAACACRTGGAGCTGGATTTTAATTTGTGCAATAAGACAAAAACAGTCTTGTTGTTTTCAACAGTTTTCACTTTAAAGAAATAAGTTACACAACTGAAGTTACAATACAAAGAATTGGTTGTTGTCTTAATAATTGTTACATTTTATATATTAAGAAATAAATATGTTAAAAATATAAATAAAAAACACACACACACAAAAAGTACTGAAAACTGGTACAGTTGAGTACCGGATATTGGTACCGAATTGATTCAAATGTCAAAGGTACCCATCCCTAGCAGCCACGCCCATGTTTGATTTAATCTACTGGAGAAAACACTTGAAATGCAGATACGCAGATTTGGACCAGTTTTAAAATTATCTTTTGTCTCTGTAAATTTCTAGTCGTGGACATTTTGGGCAGGTGTCAAAACAGCCCTCTGGAGACAGTTTGGAAACTCCAACAAAAATGAGGAAGGGTTTGAAAAGCCTGCAGACCGTGACTATTTTGACAAAAAACTGCCAGCAGTTGCAGCCCTGTAAGATACTGGCTTTAAGAGTTGCAGCACAAAGAAAGAAATTCGGAGGTTTATTGCAAATGAGAATCATATGTTAGCTGCAGCACTAAAGTATTATATCAATCTGTAGAAGCAGAAATAATGTTTAAGACCCTTCATCTGTCGTCCTGCTAGTTTCACTGATGTTTAAATGCCAAATGCATAAAGATTTAATTTATTTATGGAATGAAATGTGTGGCATTTAATTAATGACCAATAAATGTTAAATTCTGCTTTCATAAGACAGTCAAATGGTTTGGAAAACCAAACAAAACATCTTAATTTTATTCTTCAGGAGGAGTTTGGTTACAAYGCTGAGACCCAAAAACTTTTGTCCAAAAATGGAGAGACGCTGCTGGCTGCCATCCACTTCTTCATCTCCAGCGTGGACACACTTGTGGACAAAACCATTGAAGACACCATGCTTAATATCAAACAGTATGAAGTCGCCAGGTAGAGTTTACAAATTCTGTCTTCAGAAGTGATGAAAAAAATGCATTGTTTCCTGAAAAACATGACATTACAGCACCTAGTATGTTAACTCTTTGTTTAACCTAACTAATCGATTAAATAATTCATATGGTTCTTAAATCTTCTCAGTGTTGTCTTTCATGTTTTACATATTAATTGCTAAAACAATTCCAGGATCGAGTATGATGCGTATCGTACTGATTTGGAGGAGCTGAATCTGGGACCGCGTGACGAAAACACCACGCCGAAGATCCAGCAATCCCAGCAGCAGTTCCAGGTCCACCGTGAGAAGTTTGAACGAATGAGAAACGATGTATCTGTGAAGATGAAGTTCCTCGAGGAAAACAAGGTTGTTCAGCTGCTTACTTCTTCTCTGCACATTTTTGTTAAAAAAATTAAAATCTGCTATTGTTCAGTGTGGTAACTTTTTTTTCTGCTCCTACAGGTGAAGGTGTTGCACAACCAGCTCATCCTGTTCCATAATGCCATAGCTGCTTATTATGCTGGAAACCAGCAGCAGCTGGAACAGACACTCAAGCAGTTCCACATCAAGTTGAAAATGCCTGGTGCGGACAGTCCTTCCTGGCTTGAAGAGCATTAAACACTCCTTTTTTGAGACAAAGTTGGCTCAGTTTGACATGAAATGTTGGATGCTACAAAAACTACAGAAACCTCCTTTTCYTTTTCACTGTACTGTCGCTGCTTTTTTCAAACTTTCAAAACTGTATATTTTCTAACAAAATGCACAAAGAAAAACTAATGCCTTTTGTTTTCATATAGTTGTGTATTTCAAGTCATGAAAGACAAACTTTTATACTGTTGGATCTTTTGATTGGGACTTGCTGCAGTACACGTATTTTGAAACTCTAAATGGCCTTTTGTATTCCAGCATATGAATGTTGTATTTATAGCACAGCAGACATGTTGGTGTTACGGCAGCTGCTAGAGAACTGCCAGTCATCTTTGCAGTCTAACTAATATCAGCTGATTGAGCGAATGGCTCTTTTTATAATCTAGTTTTTTGTTTGCCTTTTTTTTCTAAATGAACGTGACATCTGTTGTGAGAAATTGGAATAAGTTGCATTCATATAGTAAAATTACAYACAAAGGTCACTTGTTATTTCTACAAGCAAACTGTGACTGCARTGGTAGTTTGGTGTTTTGGGGGTGTTTCTTTCTCTTGCCAAGATTCAAGTTGGACAGTGAGGTCTCAACCAACAGACGATTAGCTTTTTCAAAATAGTTGGAAACTGTGGGAAGGGGAAGTTTAAGCAAAGAAATACAGTATGTACTAGAGATGCACCAGTTAATTTAATGACTGAAATCAACCAGTTGTAGGTTTGAAGGTTGACCAGTCTGAAACTTGACTTCTGTTTCTTTCTCTTGGTCTATCACCATCACAAATTGGCTAACCCATGCTAACAGTAGCACATATGAAGTGTAAAAGGTTTTACCAAGTGAAGAAAATGGTTTAAAATAATTCATATCTGTAAAGCGATGGATTTGATTAGATCTTTTGAATTAGAAATCGAAGTTATAAATAAATAGTATCTTACCTGTTGTAGATAGCTGTTTGAACAGCCTGAGTTTGTAGAAATATCTCATTAATCCTGCAAGACTTAAACTAACAGCTAGTCTGAGCAGATCTAAGACCAAAGCTGTTTGCTTTTGCCTTAAATTATCTTTATTGCAAAACATTTTCATTTATGTGAGTACTGTAAACATTAATATTGCTGACAGGTTCTCATTATGTTGTTTAGAAGCACAAATAGCAGCTGTTATTTGGAGGACTTTCAACAGGAATATTGGAGCAATTTCTACCCAAACAACTGCGTAAATTAAAACTGGTGGCAGTTTAAAGTTTTTGAGATTGTGTTTATAAAACTGCAGCAAATCACTTAAACTCATTAATGTTTTAGTTCATGATGCTGGTTGATTCAACAATTTATGGAAAACTAGGTTCAAAATGTTATCTACAACAGGTAAGCTATTGTTTATAACCTTTATCCAGAACCTCAATAAAATAAGTTGTCCTTTGAGTAAGAGAAAGCAAAATAGATCTTTTTTTTTTATTAAAAAAACAAAAAGCTAAACTTTCTATGGGAGTTATGTGCTCAGGCATTTGATTTTCTTTAACTCAGAATGGTGTCATTTAGTGGGTGTGCTTTAATTTTTAGAGATGTGCAAATATTGGGCTGTTATGGTTTGTAAAGGATTACTGAGGTTTATTTTAGGTGGGTTTTATTAGTGCAAATGGCTCTGTCTAAAAACCTTTCGTTATTTATATTTGTAGATTTCTCATAACAGAAAAAAAGAAAAATGTTTTAGCCAAAAATCTGAAAAAAGAAAAACAAATTTTCAGAATGAAATTGGCTAAAATCAATACAGTCAGATATCCAAAATAAAAAGGATATTGGTGTCCAAGAAAACTAAATGTTGCATCTCTAATATTTATATGTACAGTATAGTCATCTGCGTACCTCTTACCGTTTTGAAAGCCAAAGTTTACAAAATCAAGTTGTGGTTTTCTAAATAGTTCTGTGGCTTCAGAGGTAAAACAGCTTCTTCCCTCTAATAGCTGACGTGGAGCTGCGCTTCTGGCTCCAAATGAATTTAAAAGAGTTGTACATTTTCTCCACTAAACTCCTACAAAACCAAAGTGACCTGTTAGTGAACAATACTTTTTGATTTGAGCTTGTCTACGATCAGAGCACTGAATGAGCAATCGTGTTGATTCTCCTAAATACCAGAAGAAAAAAAAAACAGCCTTATGTGACTAAATGTGCCTTGAAATTTTTTCTGTGCACTCTGCCCTTTTTTTTTCTTGATGAAACTAAATGGACCAAACAGTCCTACATGCACAAAGACCCTCAGAGATACTACAGATGGAGATTGCAACTAAAAAACCATGCAGCAAAACTGTTTAAAATAACTCCATGAACTTTGTTTAAAAACAATGATTTTAAATGCATGCTGTTCTTAAAGATTTTCTCTCACGTTGCACCTATACGCACATTTATGCATTTGAGACTACAACAATCTTAAAGACCTGTGTATGTACAGTGTAAACCAAAATACACAAAACTAAAAAAAATAACTTGATTTATTGTTCCTGTAAAGACCAGCATCTTTTTTCATGGCTGCTATCTGTTTACTGCATTTGGGCTTTGTTAAAAGTGTTTTTTTTAAAGAGGACCCATTGCTGGTATAAATATAACCAGTGGTCATGTCCTCTTTTTGTGTATTTGTACTCCCTGTCAGTTTAAAAGAGGGACTATTGTACAACATTCTCATTACTTCCTTGAAATAGATGGATATATAAATATATATATATTTGTAATCTCTATTTTACTGTTAGACCAACCGATGCTGCCATTTGGCTTTTTTGTTTTGTTTTCTTGAAGACCTCCAGAGTTTTATACTAGTATTGTTATGTACTAGTTAATATGGAGATTTTGTAATAATACATTAACCAATGGTGAGTTAAAAGGATGCTGAATGTTGTGGCTTGAGAAAAATAAAACTTTCTTTCTGTAGCTTTGTCCATATTTATGTTTAATGCTGCCACCAAAGACAAAAAGATAATATTGTTTTGCCTGTATGTGTTTATTTCAATATCACATAAACCGGTGGATTGATTTTAATGAAACCCCTAGAAAGCAGCTATTGGAACTGAAATTCATAAACTTCACAAGTCAACCCTATTCAAAATGGCCACCACAGCTAATCAACCTTAGAAAACCATCAATTATGTCAAAATGTGGTGTGGTTGTACCAGAGAGTCAGTCCCAACAACTCTGAGCACCAAATGATGGCTGGAGATCTGTCTTTAAAGCTTTGCCGTTAACTATATCTATAACAAAAATATCTAATGAGTCACGAGACAGATTTAATTAAACTCGACGTAATCATTTAGAGTACCTGTTAGAGCACAAAACAGACTGACTCAGTCAATGGGACAGATATTGAGCTAGAATCTGGTGCATTAGAAGCTGAGCATCATCCTCTGCACATACTGTGAACTTTGGCACTGACTTTGTTAGCAAAATATTTCATCTTTTTTACATGCATGATTCCATTTACAAGGTTTGGTAACTGTTCCTTCTCAGCATGGAATGATTTAAGTTTAAAAAGCTGCCATGAACAGTGGTGAGTAATAAGCATTGTTTCAAAGAATGACTGGCCTTTCATACAGTGAACAGTGTGTTACACCTGCTATACAGACAGAAAATGGAGCATTTAAGTAAAAYCAAGAAACGTAACTATGATGTCTTTTGAGAATTTGCAGTGTACTTTTTTCATCCTCCTAAGATGTTGGTCCTCTTCCAGCATGGCTTATTAAACAACTCGTTGTACTCTGTTGACATATTGATGTCTTTGGCCAGGAGACCGGTCCTCACATTGAGCATGGAGCCATTTCACTTGGAACTTGTCTGAGTGGATTTAAGTCCCAGGTGCCCCCCCCCCCCCCCCCC